AAACAAAAAAAAAAAAAAAAAAAATTGATTTCTATTTTCAAGGACTGAGTGACCATGTTATTTACCTGTGTCATACTGGAATATTTGTAAGAGTAGCAGGGGATGATGATGATGATGATGATGGTAAAGATGATGATTAAACCACTACATAAACCTAGACATCTGATCACTCTAAGGGGGAGACAAACTCAAAAAAAGTATGTGGTTCCTACTCAAGAGAATGTGAAAAAAAGTGATAGTGCAGTTTGCATATAAATATTAGATTCTAGAGAGTATTTCCTATGACACATCTTCAGAGGAACAAGGATTATAACAGATATTCAAATTCTGATACAATAAAACAAATAAACAGAAATTTACCTCTGGTTTGGGGACAAAAGCTTGCCCTGGAATGGTAAAGATGTGCTTAACATCGCAGAGGTACTGGGCCATAACAGAAAGGCGACTGCGCTGTTCGCTTCCTGTAGTGGCTACAAGTCTCTACAATAGGACAAAAAAGGAATTTTAGTATGGCTTAATGAGTAGAATAGAGACAACATTTCATTGTCTCCCATGCTAGATTTTTTTGAGACAAATGATAAAAGCACAGAATATCTGATACATGACATGTAGTCCACTCCTCCAACATCACCAACATCTTGGAAGCATTTATTGTATTCTGTACAATGCACTAAAAAACTCAGGCAAGAAAACTTCCCTACCACTACTGTTGTTTCCAAATCAGTTATATTCTATAGCAGAATGTCTTTCATAAAGCAACTAATCAATAAATATTTAATGAAGAAATTAGCAAGGATAATGAAGAACTAAAGATGCTTAAATATTTAATTTCTTGAATATTCCAACACAAAAAGAACATTTTTAATGATGCGCTTTTCTTTAAATATAACAAAACTGAAAATTTAAGAACACTTGGGAGATTGGCCATTTTTGACATATGATTTTTTGTAAAAACTGAGGAAATTAACCTTTAAAGACCCAAACATTTTTTTTTTTTTTTTTTTTTTTTTTTTTTTTTGGTGTTTTGTCTCATTATGTAGTTCAGTCTGCTCTGGAACTGTGCTCAGGCTGGTCTCGAACTCACAGAGATCCTCCTGCCTCAGCCTCCCAAGTGCTGGGATTACAGGCATGTGCCACCATGCCCCACCATGCCTGGCTTAGGGACCCAAACATTTTAATTTTGTAATTAATCAGGTATATCTGAACTAAATAAACACAATGTAATTTTAATCAAAATGCTAACAGGATTGTTAAAAAGAACCTTCATTTTCATTTAAATTAAATGAAATTTAATTTAATTAAATTTCATTTAAATTAAATTAGATTCTAAAAACCAAATTCCATGTAAAATTTAATCTAAGGCTAAGAATGGCCAATACACTCTGAAGAATGCCAACAATGTGGATGGGAAGGCCCACAGTCCCGGACATCAAAATTAAGACAGTACTGCTACATGCACAGACTGACTCAGGCACATGTGGGTCCTGACAAATGTGACAGCGACTGCTAATGAGAAAAAGCTAGGATATTCAGTAAGTAATATTGGTATAATGAGGTATGTACAGGAGAAAGAGTAGGTCCTAATCTTTTACCATAACCTAAAGTAAAATCTTCATAAAGTATGACTCTGATGGCAGAGAAGAATGTCTTAAAGCTGCAAAAGCTACAAAGACTGATGTATTTTATTCTATGTAAGTTAAAATTTTATGTACAATAAAACACTATAAATACCACAAACCAAGAGAAGGTATTTGAAAAATCAAAGGATTCATGTTCAGAATATGTGAATAAGAGGTTAGTATTCAGAGTACAGAAAAAATGCCTACATATTAGTCATTAATAATCACAAGACAAAGTACTATAGAAAATATAATAAAGCAAATCATAGAAGAGCTACCCAAATGACCCATAACCATAAATTATACACAAAGGAAGGATAAGCTATGTAACATAAACTATGTTACAAATGAGAAATACATAAATTAAAACCATGAGATGTAATTCCATATTTATGAAATGGGCACAAATTAAAAATAAAGAACTGCTAGAAATAGTAAGGATGACTATATGGAGCTACAGGAACTCTCAGGCACACTAGTGAGAGGGAAATCAGTGTAAGTACCTTGCAGCATACTTTGTCAAGACATAATAAAATTGAAGTAATATGAATCCTTACAACTCGCCAGACCTACCTTGGGAATATATCCTAAAGAATCGTTTCTAAATTTACATGAGATATGTAGCATCATATGTAGTATAAAAACAAAGCAGAAAAACAAAAAAGTCCATCCATAGGTGAATAAATGCACTGGTTATTTTTGTCAACAGAATACAAAATAGCTAAAATAAATAACAAGGGCTATCAATATAGCTTAAATCCAAAAATAAAAGTATAAATTATGTGGCAAAAAATGAGTACAGTTTGATGCCATTTATATAAAAACTTCAAAAATAACCCCTACTATATCTGTACCTCTGGTATATTATCTCCAGTGCAGGTAAGTAAAAAACGTGCATGGAAATGGTGATCATCAATTTTTTAACATGAAACAAACTATAGGAAGAAAAGATTTAGAAGAGGTTTCCAAACATATTTATAGTATTTAATTTCTTTAAAAAGAAACAAAAATAGAGCAATATATTAAAACTAGACAGAGCTGAGTACTGAGTAAAACAATTAGACCTACTGATGATTCTAAAATGTATTCTGCTTCTCTGTGTTCTTAAAGCTGCAAAGACATTCCAACCCTCTAGTGAATGATTCAGGGTCACTATTACAAATGCAATACCAGTAATGACTGGACTAATCCCAGGCCAGGTATGGGTCCCTGGGCCCTACACTAACCATCAAAGGTGCAGTGTTTTTACAGTTAGTTGCTACTGTGTTTCCTTTTTCTTCCTTCACTGTCATATGCTGACCTACTCTACTAGTCCTTTACTTTGCTGCTTCTGACTTGGTGTGGGCATAAAAACCACATCATTTGGCTTGTTAGAACTTTGCCTTGACTAAGATGAAAACACAGGTTTTATGAGAGATGCTGAGGAAGTTTATAGGCAAATCTGGAAATTTTGTAGCATTTATTTTGTTACTTAGAAGCCATTCCCTTATGCTACCCAAATTTGTATTTTTAATCACCTGGCTTTTATCTGTTTTGGTACATTTGAAATTATCAAGAAGGAAAAATTCAAAATAAGCAAATAATAAAAGCATATATATCAAAGTGAATTCCTCCTAACATGTAAAATCAAAAAATGTATATACTCTGAAGCAAATAAAAAAAGACATGACAGAAATATAAATTTAAAGAATAGGCTCATAGATAAAATGGTCAAAAATATTTTTAGCTCTCCATGAAGGAAAAAATGAGCTAAATTTTACTACCAGAATAAAATTAAAAAATTCAAATGCATTGTAAATGCATTACATTCAACCAACACAATTCACAGCAGATCTTTAAAAGCTAGTATGAACATAATAATTACAATATTTTAAAAATGAACCAAAAGAAATGCCCACATGTTTTAAATTACTATTTCATCCTGAATTTCCCCTGCATAACTAATGTTTTACTTTACATTTGAAAGATGTGTTTCCACTGATAAATTGAAGAGAACTCAAAACTCACTCTAACTCATTTTAACTAAAATGCAAACCTGTGAGGCAAAAAGTTAAAGTGTTCTAATTTGATGTAAAAATAGATCAAATTTAGGTCGATTTCACTTAGAGTACTAAGCATCCAGTACATTCTAACTCATCGACTTGACTATTAAATCTTGGCCACAAATATGCTCAGGTTTTGGAGACGCAAACATGTAAATAATCATCTTAACTTAGACTACATAGCACACATAACTGTCCCTAACTTAATAAGTAAAAATTCAAGTCACAGACCAGGAAATCTTACAAAAAGACTTCCAATAAAAGTTAACAAACAGTCTATCAAGCATTCAAGCATGCCCTCCTTTTTCTGTGAGATTTTATAGGTAAAGCTAAGAAACTCAATGTCCATTAAGAGATAGATGATTTTAACAACAAAAGGCCTGGAAACCAAATCAGTTAATTTTTCAGTAAAAGGAAACCTCTAATCCTTGGGCTTTAAAAAGCATTTTGACAAAGTACAAGAAAAACAAGTGTTCAAATAATTTACAAGGACAGTGTTATCTTTTCTTGTTCATTTAAAATAATTTTTAAAACAAGTAGAAAGAGTAGGCTTGATAGGGAAAACTTTAACGGCAAAAACTGTATGCAACATCACAATATAAGATAACTTCTGCCCTTTACTCGGTTTAATTCAGAATTAACCAGACTAGAGCATCTAGTCTCCCTCAAAAGTTTTGTAAATAAAAAGAATCACTGTTAGCTTTGCTGACCAAACACACCTTCTTCCCCTTAGCTAGAATAGATAACTAAATGAATTTTTTTGTTTTGTTTTGTTTTGTTTTTTTGAGACAGGGTCTCACTATGTAGTTGAGACCTGGAACTCACTATGTAGCCCAGGCTGGTCTCGAACTCACAGCCATCCTCCTGCCTCAGCCTTGGGAGTGCTGGGAGGCGTGCGCCACCACACCTGGCTAACTAAATGAATTTTAAAGGTAACCTCCCCTACCAAAGAAGTGCTGCATTTGGGTTGAAACTCAACTGCTTTGCCACCATGTTTTAAATATGAGCAATTTGAGCTGTGAAAATGCACAAATGAGATCAAGGCTGTAAAACCCTATAAAAGAAGGAGTTGTAACCAATGGGAATCTATCAGGGCACCACCATTAGGTGTCACTGATCCCCATTGATGGAGTAAACTTTTGTTATTTTACTTCCATTCTGCTGCCTCTGTGCGTCACTGGCCAATTCCTTCCATAACAGGCTTATATCTGAGAAGTTTCACAGCCTCATAAAAGGGTCAAGAATAACTATCATCAATGGAGAGATGACTCTCACTGCTGGTGACGTACCCAAAAGAGGCAAGGTCTCCTGGAAATAGTAGAAGACAGAGGTTGACACTAGAACCAACTGGAGAAAAGCCACAGGTCCAGCAACACCCAGAGCTTAAACAACACAACTTTAGCAAATGGGCTGTGCTCCAGTTCAGTTTTTCTTATAACTACTCCATGACCCTTGGAAAGACATTAAACCACTCTGAGCCTTAGTTTCACCAAGTATAAAGTGAAATGAGATGAGATTTGTTAAGATCTAATTTATTGCTATACAGTCTAACTCTTATTTTCTGAGCTGTAATTCAATGCTATCTGTATGTCCTTTATGGTGTATGAGCTGAATTCTTAGATTTAGATCCTCTAGACCTAGAAAAAAGAGGATGGTACATATTTGTATCTGTTTTGTAAATGTAAATGTTAATTACATACTTAACGCAAATTCTTCTAAATGTTCATGCTAAAATTTAACTAAAATCAACCTTTTTTAAAGGAAAATAATTGCCTATGGTGAGGCTGCAGCAACACTATCATTAAAAACTATAACTGACGCTGAGTTACTGAAAATGTAACTCCATCTCCTAGGGCTCTGCTCTTCTTCTATCTACCCCAGCAGAATTACAGTGTAATAGTATTCTGCATCTCTATTGTGTTACATGAGAACACAAATACCATAATAATCATGTCAGCTGGAAAAAAAAAATCCACCAATGTGTTATAATTAGAAACCTATTTGGTCTTTGTCCCTGGTTGCTTGTGCAGAGCTCTTAAATCCCGCCAAATTTCCTGGAGAGGGCTGTCTTCTGTTACTCAGGAGCTCCCCAGCCCCAATCATATCTGACTTCATGCCAATGAGGGGAATGACATAAGGTGGAACTGCTGCTAGACTCAAGATAGTGCATATCCAGAATGACTGGTAACTCATTACTTAAACACAGGTTCATCAAGTTCTATGAGCAGCCAGCAGCACACAAAACTGCTATTATAAATAGCAAACATACTGGTTCTATACAAAAATTCCAAGGAAAGCATAAATACAATGAGAGAAAGGGAAGGTATAAAAAGACCCAAATAGAAATTTTTGAGGTAAAAATACAATATTTTAAGTGAAAAATCTACTCAATAGAACTAAAAGTGTATCATATATGACTTTGAAAACACAGTAATTGGAATTTGTAAGGCATATCACTAAAATATTTTTTCTAACAGTTAACCAATATCCACAGGTTACTAAATAATTCTTCCCTTCACTAATAATTTTTGATCTGACCATTATCATATATAAAATTGCCTGCCCCTGGACCTTCTAATCTGGCCATCAATCTGTCTTGCACCATGTCATACTGTTTTGATTATTAAAGCAAATCTTCTCTCATTATTCTTTTTCAACATATCTTATATATTTTTGCATGCCCAAGAATATATAACCCCTATATTTCAAGAGAAATTCTTTAAGGATTATAACTATATTAGATTACAAAGCTATATATTTGAAAAAAATCAACATCTTTACAATAATCATCTTTCCTTTCAGGACTAATATTTCTCATGATTTTTCTCAGTGAACTTTTGGTAAGGTTATGTCAATTTTTTTTAAACAGGTCTTTTGCTTAGGTTTTTACTTCCTGTTTCAGTAATGGCAACTTTTACAGTGGTACCATGATTCACAAACTTAATTCATTCTAGGATTCTGGAAAAGATGTCCATGTTCATGTTTGTGCATGAAAGATGGCCATGGTTGTGTTCATCACCTGATTAGAGTTCAAAAACAAAAACAAAATTTGGCTAGACCTTCTGTTTGCGAACCAAATTGCTCACAAACAAAAATGCTCATGAATGTGCACTAGTGGTATAGTGGCGAGCATAGCTAGCTTCCAAAAATGTTCATTAATTGAGGTATTTATCTCACTCAATACAGTATTTAGCTATTTATTTATAACTAATTCAATTCTAAACTCCCATGAACTTCTGTATTCTTTCAACATATGAAACATAATAGGTATTTGATCAAACTCACCTTCTTAATTGGCTCTGATCTGATCAGAATGTTCCTCCTGAGGTTCTTTTCTCTATGCTCTAAACTGGGCCCTGTGGATTTTACATCATTTTCTAATTATCAAAACAAAGCTTTTGTGGTGGCGCATGCCTGTAATCCCAGCACTCAGGAGTCTGAGGCAGGAGGATCGCTGTGAGTTCGAAATCAGCCTGGGCTACATAGTGAGCTCCAGGGCAGTCTCAACTACATAGTGAGACCCTGTCTCAAAAAAACAAAACAAAACAACAAAAAACAAAACAATGCTTTTGCAGAGGTATTGACAGAGATCAATGAAGGCCAGACTTATTCATGAATGAAGCTAGTTGGGATCCATATGTTAAAAATGGTGAAACTGAGGTTCTACTTCAACTAAATACACAAAAATCAATCTCATAAGGATTATGGATACAAATGTGAAAAGTAAAACATAAAGCTTCTAGCAGATAACAAAAGGATATCTTCATAATCTCAAGCCATAAAATGATTTAACAAGACACATAAAAACAATAATCACGATCTAATGAGTTCATGAGAATACCTAATCTTTAAAAAACACTGTAAATAGAAAATGACAATATGTCAGAGAACAGAAGAGGAAATCTGCAACTCATCTAAATAATGAGGACTGGTATGGAGACTATGTGAAAACACTGAATCCAAAAGAAAAAGACAAGGAGCCCAACAGAAAGATATGCAAGCTGTGTACGTACATACCCAACTGACCCAAAGCCCAGTAAACACATAAAGGGGGGTTTGCAATGTCATTCAAAACCACCAGAAACAAAATAAAATGCAACACAATATACTATTACACCTAGATTAATTAAAACATACAAACCAAGCAATACCAAGTATTAGCAAGAATATGGAGCAAAATGAACTCATGTGCACTGCTGGTGGGGATATACACAGGTATAATGACTTTCAAGAACAATTTATCACTGTCTAGCAAGAGGCAGCACTTGCAGTTTCACTTCCATACACATACCCTAAAGAAATCTTGCCCATGTGTCCCAGCTGACATAAATATAAGAACAATGATGACAGCTAATTCTGAGTCGTCGACAGGAGAATGGACAAAAAATGACAGTCTATTGTGGGCAATAGGTGCATATATATGTAAATAAAGTATAGTTATGAGTAATATGAGCAAACCCTATAAAAGACGGTCCAGATAAAAAAATGCATCTTTTATGAATTCATTTATATAAAGCTAAAAAAAAGAGATAAAACTAAAGTATACTATTTATATGGATATAAATTCCATGTGGTAAAAAGACTATGGGATGGAATAATAAATCCAAAATTTACAGCACTGATTACCTCAGTGACAGGGAGTGCAACTGGAATGAGGCAGACTTAGAGCCCACAGTTCCCCTCCTTTAACCTCTGCAGTTTAAGAGCTGCCTGTGATCAGCCTGGAGGTTTTCATCCTAGAAACTGATTCAGAACACACCTGCTGGGGGGAGGCAGGCACTGCAGGCACCACCGAGGTGGGGGCTAAGACAAAATTTATATGCTGGATCATAAGAGCTTCGCCCTTAATTCCCTTTCTCAGTTGATGATCGTATTCTTTATCATCTTACTGAGCACAAACGATCAATTTAAGATACCACTCCACACCCAACATATGACTACATGGCTGACACACAGTTTTTGCCTTTCTCTGATCATGTCTATGGGTACTGCGTCCCTACATTTACTGCATCTCCTTCTTGGCTCACAAACATCATTCACATTCGCTCTCCCTAGAAGCTTCAAGCCCTATTATCTCTCATCCTCATATGCCTAAATTTTAGCTGAGTTGTTGCTTAATCTGTGTATACTCAAGTATGTACTAGAACATACAGCTGGGGTGAAAATACAGTATTATTTGGGAATCTGATCATGTGGTCAAATAGCAAAAAAAGTTAAAACTTACCTCAGCCACTTCCTTTTGAAAAGTCAAAGTCATTTGAGTTCTACCATAAGCAAAAGGTCCATTTCTATTAGAAATGTTCTCAAGCCACTTGATAATCAGTGGAGTTGAAACACTAAAAGGCAGATTTCCAATAATATGTATATTTGGAGGATCTGTTTTGTAGGGGGGAAAGTTAGAATTAATTCATCAATAAATCCCAAACATAATTTTAGTTCAGAGTAAAATCAAACCGGATATTAATAGTAACAAAAATACATTAAAAGATATGGCTGAGTATTTTTTAGTCATTTACTCTTCAAAAGCTGTATTTTCTTTGAATTGAACTTTGATTTATTAAGGAAAAACTTCTGTCTAATTAATGTTCAGTTGGTGAAAGTCCAGATTTCTGGCTTAGGTACATGAAAGAGTTGGTTTAAAGGAAAAGATAATTTTCTCTGGACGTGATGAAGTTAGAAAATGCCTATGGGGTTATTAAGGGGCCATATGCCCTTAAAAGGGGTACAGGTTCTGCAAAAAGATGTAAGTGCCTGCAGTACACTGGGGGAGTGAAAAACCAGGAGTGGAGTGAGCCAATCTGTACAATGAGAAAAAGAAGGCCAGAAAGAAAAACCCCAGAAAGAACATGTTAGAAGTGGGTGGAAAAAAAATCACTAGCAAACAATAGAGAAAGTTCAGAAATGTCAAAGGAAAAACAGGAAGGAAGGTCTGCAATTAGGGAATACAAGGGCAGACAGACTTTCCAGAAGACAGTTGGATAACAGTCAAATGAATGCAGGAGAGTGTAGTGAGCTAAGTTTCAAACAGGTTACTGATCACTGGGACAGGGGCAGGGTTGAAAACCTTGAGGGTGTTTACTGAAAGGTTGGCTGAAAGCTGGAGACTACAAATGCAGATCACTCTAAAGGAACCTGATCCTGGGGAAGCTAGGTGCAATGCATCCAAATCCTCTTCCATGTGTTCTGAGAGTTTCTGATGAGCAAAAACTTTAACTGTGGATTCCAAAAGGGTGACCCATAGAAGGTATCAATAAACACTGTCCATGAATGAAGAATAACTCTATTGATCACTAAGTGCAAAAGACAATGGGGGGAAAAAAGTATTGGGTGTTGCTTGGTTTACTAGAATACCTTTTTTCACCATATGGAAAAAGTAACACTTCATAGTTTACCCCATGTTTTATATAGATCACAAAAATGATGTTTAGTTGCACAGAATCTAAAACATTGGAAAATGCAAGACAGAAAACTAAGAAGAAATGAACTGGATTTTAAATTGTGGATGGAAATGGAAAAATTAAAGAATTACACTGCAAATTATTTAACTGTCCAGATAATTTTAAATATATTATAATAAATACTATATGAATTAAATATTTGTGATAGAAATAATGACAAAAGGAAATTAAAGACAAGGCACTTACCATCCTCCCAGGGTCTTTTAAGACTTGCTGGAAAAGACTTTTCTATCTTAAACGTCAACACATCTCCATGAACAATTCTCAGTTTTCCAGGTGCTGCATCAGAAAGCATCTAGTTTACAAAAAGGTTAATAAAATGAGTGCATACATTTCAGAGAGTAACAAAACTAAAATTAAAAAAACCTATGCATCATTAAATCAGTCAGAAAAGCCAGAGAATAGTAGTGATCACTGATAAACTGATAATATTGTGTCCATGGTGACAGATATTTATATTTCCCCTTAACACATCTGAGGGATTAGGGATATATAATAGTATAGCACGTTAGAATTTCACAAAAATATGTTTGTGCAACTTTGACTCTCAGAATGGCTTCTATTTCTGTAGAAGGCAGCATAAACTCAACTCCTATTTACAAGTTTTAAAAAAAATAGACCAAGGCCATTTTAATGAAATACTACAAATTAGGAACAAGCCATATGAAAAATGAAATTTAAGTCTTCATAGACTAAATATATATGAATGACACTACACATTACTAATACCTTTAATTAATGTATGGATAGATTCAAACTAAGCACTGTCCCTTGTCAATACCGGGCCCCACCTGGCTTTCTGAGCCACACCCCTGAACCGAGCACCCTAATCCTAGTATTTCTTGATCCACAAGCACTATCAACCTAATGAATTAGCCTACATGTTTTCAACAATAGCATCTTCCAATCTATTCCTAGTTTCCAGTTATTTGCTTTCTTTCCTTTTGCTTCGATCTTCTGAGAAAAACAACACATCATTTCCCTTTTTTTTTGTTACCCCTTTTTTTGGTCACTTCATTCACCTTGGCACCATACTCTCACAGTATGTACTAAAATACCAATACCTAGTTTAAAAGAGCCCTTTGGCTCTGCCAACTATAAATTTGTATTGTGTAATGTGCCCAATACCTAATGCACGGTTGATTCTTGAAGTCCTTGGAAAAATAGATAACATGCATCAGTGAGCTTTTAATGCAGGCAGGAACATAATCAATGAAAAAAAATCATCACTGCTCAAGTAGACTGCAAGGGAAGAATGGCTCTCTTCCTACAGAAACTCTCAGTGGGGAACTCAAGAGAACCTGGGCTCCAAACACCTCTAGGGATACAGAAGGAAGGTGAAGGAGCTCAAGCTCAAATGCAACTCTGCCTGGGAACCCATTGGTCCTAGTTCTACAGCTCCATAAAAACTGATATTTTTCTCCTACTACTCTCTCTCCACACCTATTTCAGGCAACTGACAGGAAGAATAAAAGGGATCACAACAGCAAGAAGGGTGACCCCAGAAGCAAGGTATACAGTTTGCTGACTGCTTCTATCTGCATGTTCACACTGTGCATGGTCCAAGATCCTTGACAGCACTTATGTATAAAACATAGTCACATATGTTTCTTTCCCTGCAACAATGAATGCTCCTCAAAGGCATTTATTTGCTAAGTACTTGAATAGCACCTGCAGCTATACAAAGTAGGTGTTTAATATGTATTTATAAGAAAATTGTGATCACTAACTATGGTGTCAACTTGGTAAGAAATGCCCAGTAATCTGTTTAGCATAGTTCTGGACATGTCTGCATAACGACTTACTGAAGAGGGAAGACCTATCCTGTGTGTGGGAGGCGCCAAGCTTGTAGTCTGGATGGAAAAGAAAGGGAAAGAAGGAAGTCTTCTTCTATTTTTTAAGAGGACATCCAGTCTTCACTACTGCCTGTGGACATCCATCTCCAGGCTTCTAGTATAGACTCTTCAGCCATTCAGCAGAGACCCTTTGGCTTCCTGATACAGACTTGCATGAGATTTTGCAGAGTTCCAGGACTTCTATTTTTGACTGAATCCTTTAAATGTCCATTCTTCCACACTTGACTCCTCAGGTGACCATAGTAGTAAGCCCGACTCATAAATCCTTATATGCATCATATATATGTCATGATATATATCTATCTTATATTAAATCCATGCCTCCAGTGAACACTAACTGATACAGGAACGAATAAGTGAATAGCCAAATGAACTCAGCTTTCTGAAAGCTGGCTCCCCAAATTTTGGGGATCAAGAAACTTGCAAAGATTTATTTTATAGTGAAGCAGAATTAAACAATGTTTTGGAAGAGAGAGCTGAAATGCCTATAATGGCAGGAGGATAAATATTTTAAGTTTGGTACTATCTAGTTTGATAAGGTTAGCCACAGTAGGTTAGCAAAAATGACTAAGTCTGGTACAAATATACTTTGGGATTATTTTAATTACCATAATTTACTAAAACTTTATCTGATGAGTGCCAAATAAATCTTAGAAAACATAATACACTAAATATTAAAAAGGAAATAGCTCTCTATGGGATATATTCTTACTATATAAGAACACTGAATGGTAACATTTACCAAGAGATAAGACTAAAATATTTCTACAATTATGGTTCATATCACCAAAGCTAATTGGCATTATAAAAAAAAAGAGGCTATCCTAAAAGCTTATGTTATCTGATGTCAATCTATACAAGTAATTAAGTAATTGGTAATTAGGAATAAAACAAAACAATGTAAAATTGACTCTTCAGTATAAATTTATACACTCCTAGGTTTAAAGTTGCATTTATATTTCTTCAGGATTCCCATTTAGGTTCAGGTTTCGGTCAATGAGAAACCAAATACATCCTATATAAGGTCTACCTACTTGACAACTCTGTAGCCTCAGTTTTGCCTTCCACCTCTCCACCACAGCATGAATAAATGTTGGAGTCCACTGATTTATCTGAATGCCTTGAAGCAATTATGGGGGAAAAGTGCTGCACAGACTGATCTGATACTATGATTACAGATAAGTCTTTGAAACACCTAAAATGATACTCAGCAATGACACACACACTTTCTAACCAACTAGTAATTGAAAAAAATGTTTTCACCATGATGATACTATTTGGGGATGGTGGAGAAGTGGGAGAGATCACTAATAGAGCCCTTCAAGAACCACCCTGGAGCCTTATACTTCAAAACCTGGGAGGAGTGACCATATAACAAACTCAGAGGCACAGCCCACCACAACCATGAATGCAGCAGGCACGTGATTACAGTCAAATGAGTACTTGCACAGACACTCTCAAACTGCTCTATCATTTTTACTTTTCAATTATATATTCTTCCAAAATGAGATATAAGACAGACACATTGAGTGAAAGGCATTAAGACTATAAGAAGAAATAGAAGGGCAGGGGATTTAGCTCAGAGGTTCCACCGCCTGCCTTGCAAGCACAAGGACCCGAGTTCGATAACCGGTACCAAAAAAAAAAAAAAAAAAAAAAAAAAAAGAAATAGAAAACCACACCTTGAAAAGAACAAGCATATATATAAAACACGAGCACTAATAATCCTATCATTAGAATCATTAGTCCTCATTTGCATAATAATAATACAACCCTTATAACCCACACTCTCTACTAGAAGTAATTCTATTAAATTTCCAAGAGAAAAAAATTTCTTTCTGGAATTAGGTCTTGTAAAAGTATGAAACAATGGGCTGGGGATAGAGCTCAGTGGCACAGCGCCTGCTGGGCAAGTGAGAGACCCTAAGTTCAATTCCCAGTAATGCATCCCCCACCAAAAAAAAGATAGAAAATATTAAACAATATAATGGACATGTCTTTTGTAGGGGGCAGGCAGCGGAACCACTGAGCTAAAATCCCTGGCTGGACATGTCTTTTGTAAAAGTAAGAAAACAAAACAAAAAAAAAGGTATATTCTTTTTATGGTCATTAAAAAAAAATCCTCCTCAAAGACAGAAAGCTTTTCTGCACAGAGCAAATAAATGTGATGTACCTGGGTAGCTTTGTGATTTAATGATGAGAAAATAATGTATGCAATTTTTAGAACTCAGGCAAAATTTCTTGAGAATAAACAATTACATGAAATATCTATTTTATATATTTGATGCCACCTCCTCATAGTAAGGGGTTTATAGTAGCCAACACCTTAAAGGGAGCTAAGCATTAATTAATTTGTTGTAATCTGTCCTTTATAGTAGGGTCCAAACACTAATGAAATTAATACCCACAGAAGGATTAGGCAAAACTATAAAAATCCATAAAAAAGAATAGGTGAAAAAATCAAATTTTTCTTTTGTAGCATGCCCCCAAAAAGACGAATGCTATTATTCCAAAGGCATTTAAAGTAATGTCACAACAGACTTTTTTAGGGAAATGACAGCATAATTTCAAAGTCGGTTTGCATGTATAGTAGAAATCTATCTACAGTACTTGGCATCATCAAGGAATCAGATGTTTTATTAAATTTTTTGCTCAATGTTTATTCCTTTATGTATTAACATTTGTTAAGAAGAAGAAACTTGTGAAAGGAAATGTTTTAAAACTGTATCGCACAATTTTCTTAACTCAAGAATAATGGACCCAATTTCTCCCACCCACTTCTTTTCTTTTTGGTACCAAGGATCAAACTTGGGACCTTGTGCTTGCAAGGCAGGCAGCAGAACCATTGAGCTAAATCCCCAGCCCTCCCACCCACTTCTTAATGCCTTGGGGTTGCTAGTGCCTTTAGAGCAATAGCCTTAATGTTGAAAGAAGTATGGATGATCCCTTATTACTTAGTGCAAAAAAAATGTTCCTGATTTCCTATGTTTCTCATAACTTTTCTGACACCACAGTAACTATTAACTTTTTGTTGCTGTCAATGGGCCTGCCTCTGGCACTGATCTTTGTATTCACAGTAGTATAATTACTTTGGTTATGAGCCACCTTTTGCTTACTTGTGTAGTTTTGTCTCTATGTTATGATTACGGTCATATCAAATAAGTTACATGTTTCAAGAAGCAATGCGTCATGACAGAAAGTCAGGCAATTTCCAAACAGCTCTGTATAAGTCAGCTTTGTCATCACTGACACATGATACCTGACACCCATAACTTAAAGGAGAAAAGGTTTAATATGACTAACAGTTTTGAGGGACTCAGTCAACGGTCAGCTTGCTCAAAGGTAGAAACATCATAGTAAAAAGGCATGGTGGGGAAAAATCTGCCTAGTTCATGGCAGCTGGGAAGCAAAGCAGAACAGTGCCAGAAAAGAAAGGGCA